CACGGGCCCAGCCGCTCCGCGGCATGTGGGATCTTCCCGGACCGGGGCACGAACCCGTGTCCCCTGCATTGGCAGGTGGACTCTCAACCACTGCGCCACCAGGGAAGCCCTCTTTTTCCTTTTATTTACCATTTTCTTTTCCTTAGTCCCTTGTAATCCAGCTATTTTTCCTTAGCACTTTATTGGAATTAACCTTTCCAAAGATGCCAAAGACCTAATGGCCAAATTCATCCATTGATTGTTTTCTTCTCTCTCACACACAGACTTTTGCTCTCCTTTCTCTGTCTTTCTGTGTCCCTCTCATATCCATCCATCCATCCCATCAGTAAACATTCAGTTTGCACCAAGATATATCCCAGGTCCCTGGAGATGAAATGAGAATATACTCTCAAGTAGTTTTACCAGGCCTATAAGTAAGTACAAAATTACCGTATAGTTCATAGCTGCTATGATGTACACACAGCGGCCGTACAGGAACTTCGTGAGCTCTGTTGTTTTTAGCACTGAGATTCTGATTCTTATTTTATCTTACTTTCCTGGTCCACCTCACCCCACTTATGGCAAAAAGAAAAGCATGGCCATATTCCTCTATTTTCTTTTAACATTTTTTTTCCTCAGAAGTCACGGTACTTTGCTGTCACCCCATCATCATTGTTTAAAATCTGTCAGGCACCTACTTAGTATAAATCATTGTGCTAAGTCCTGCAGAGACAAATTGGTAAAAGATATCATGCCTGCCATTCAGAGAGTTTATAAACTATTTAGTGAAATAGGCATAAGCATAGGATCATACATAACAAAGTGTAATTGAGTATAGTGGTTTAGAGCAGAGATTCCCCAACCCCCGGATCAGGGACCGCCATCGGCCCGTGGCCTGTTAGGAACCGGGCTGCACCTCAGGAGGTGAGCGGCTGGTGAGTGAGCTAGCAAAGCTTCACCTGTATTTACAGCCACTCCTCATCACTTTCATTACCACCTGAGCTCTGCCTCCTGTCAGCATTATGGTGAGTTGTGTAATTATTTCATTATATATTACAATGTAATAATAATAGAAATAAAGTGCACAGTAAATGCAATGCACTTGAATCATCCTGAAACCATCCCCCCCCAATCCGTGGAAAAATTGTCTTCCATAAAACCAGCCCCTGGTGCTAAAAAGGTTGGGGACCAGTGGTTTAGAGCATGGTCTCTGGGGCAGAACAGCCTGGATCCAAAGCACAGCTCTAACACTTACTAGCTGTATTACCTTGAGCAAGCTGCTTAAGTTTTCTGTACCTCAGTTTCCACATCTGAAAAGTGAGGGTAGTAGTAGCATCTATCCCTTAGAGTTATAAAGGTCAAGTGAGTTAACATGTAAAGTGCTTGGGATAGTTCTGGCATATAGTAAGCATGTAAGTTTTAGCTATGTGTCAATATAATGCCTGGAATTTAGCCACTGGCACTGACTAATTGATAATTTTGCACCTCTGCCTTCTGGACATTCCTAATTTTAGAAGTCTTTCTGTCACAGCAAAGTCAGCACTCTTAAAGGTAAACTCTTAATTAATCCTTACCCTTCTCTTCTCCCCTATCCCTCATGTTTTCTCATTTTCCTCATTGGTGCTGCCACTCCCCATCCTCCCATTCAGGTTTAAAACCTTGCAGTCATCTTTGAGTTCTCCCAGTTTTTTCCTCACCCTCTTCCACACATACACCACTTTGGAAATGCTGCCTTCCTGTTGTCTGTTCTTTTTCATTTCCAGCACTGTCAATTTATATATATAACTGTTGAAATAGTATTCACCTTGTACCTTGCCTGCAGTTCTTGGAAGTAGCAAGAAGAAAGCATTGACTTTGGGTTTTTAAACACTACCCACTACTTTCTCTGTTTTTGAACTAACAACATCTCTGGGTCTTGATTTCTTTCTTTATTTATTTTTTTGCGGTACGCGGGCGTCTCACTGTTGTGACCTCTCCCGTTGCGGAGTACAGGCTCCGGACGCGCAGGCTCGGCGGCCATGGCTCAACGGGCCCAGCCGCTCCGCGGCATGTGGGATCTTCCCGGACCGGGGCATGAACCTGCGTCCCCTGCATCGGCAGGAGGACTCTCAACCACTGCGCCACCAGGGAAGCCCATGATTTCTTTATCTTTAAATTGAACATTGATCTCATAAAATTGTGGTCAGCCTTTAAAAAAAGTTCACATATGTTTACTAAATTCCGGTTCTCCTTCAGACTCCACCACCTGTCCCCCCCCCCACCACGCTCCCGCCAATTAATTTTGCATTGCTTCTATTTACAAGCATTTGTATGTGGCTTCCCCTCACTTCAGCTCCTTAGTTTGGCATTCTTGGCCTTCCATAAAATGACCCTCGTCTATCTCTGTCACATGATATCTCCTTACCTCTTGAAAAGAGTCAACTGCCCTAGCTAGAGTAACCTACTCATTGTCTTCTAAACATGGTTTATCCACTCCTGCTTTAATCTGTCTTCCAAGGCCATTTCCCCTGCAGGAGGTACTATCCTCCACTCTCTTAAGTTTCACCTTCTGTGGGAAAATTTCATGTCCACCCGGGTGATTTCTGCAGTCATTGACTTTCTGTAGCATTTCCTGTCTCTCAGTCATTTGGTACTTATAATTTCTTAAATTTGTAGTGACCTCTTTTTTTTATGTAAGTGAATTATCTCTGCAGCTAGACTGAGTATGATAGAGATCATGTCTCAGCAATTTTTAAATGCGTAATGTACATAATGGGTGTTGAATAGAGTTTTCATGCTTTGTTTCATTTTTGCAAAACATTTATGGAATACTTAACGAATGCCAGTGCTAGGCTCTAAGAACATAAAGGCAAATGAACTGGTTTTTGTTTCTTAGGCTAGTGGTCTCCTGAGGGAGATGTTGCACAGATATTTCAATATACAGTTGGCCCTCTGTATCTGCGGGTTCCACATTCGTGGATACAACCAACTGTGGATGGAAAATATTGGGGAAAAAATTTTCAGAAAGTTCAAAAAGCAAAACTTGAATTTGCCAAGTGCAGGCAACTGTGTACGTAGCATTTACATTTTATTTACAGCTATTTACATAGCATTTACATTGGATTAGGTATTATAAGTAATCTAAAGATGCTTTAAAGTATACAGGAGGATGGGGAGGATGTACAAAGGCTATATGCAAGTACTATACCATTTTATATAAGGGACTTGAGCATTTGGGGATCAATCCCCTGCTGATACCAAGGGGTAGCTGTAATGTGGTAAATACCAAGGTAAATGTTTTCAAGGGATGCCATGAGTATATTGAGGGAGGTGGAACTTTTACTGCCTGGGAGTTCAGAGATAGCTTCTGGAGTTGAACTCATGAGTTCAGTCTTACAGGATGAGTAGGATTAGTCAGGTAAAGAAAGAAGAGAAGCTTTACCGGCAGCATCCGACGGCAGGATGTCTCACAGGAAGTTCTCTGCTCCCAGGCATGGGTCCCTGGGCTTTCTGCCTCGGAAGCACAGCAGCTGGCACCACGGGAAGGTGAAGAGCTTCCCCAAGGATGACTCTTCCAAGCCCGTGCACCTCACAGCCTTCCTCGGCTACAAGGCTGGCATGACCCCCATTGTGAGGGAGGTCGATAGGCCAGGGTCCAAGGTGAACAAGAAGGAAGTTGTGGAGGCTGTGACCATCGTGGAGACGCCACCCATGGTCATTGTGGGCTACGTGGAAACACCTCGAGGCCTCCGGACCTTTAAGACCATCTTTGCTGAGCATATCAGTGATGAATGCAAAAGGCACTTCTATAAGAACTGGCATAAATCTAAGAAGAAGGCCTTCACCAAATACTGTAAGAAGTGGCAGGATGTAGATGGCAAGAAGCAGCTGGAGAGGGACTTCAGCAGCATGAAGAAGTACTGCCAGGTCATTCGTGTCATTGCCCACACCCAGATGCGCCTGCTTCCTCTACGCCAGAAGAAGGCCCACCTCATGGAGATCCAGCTGAACGGAGGCACTGAGGCCGAAAAACTGGACTGGGCCCGAGAGAGGCTAGAGCAGCAGGTCCCTGTGAACTAAGTGTTTGGGCAGGATGAGATGATTGATGTCATTGGGGTGACCAAGGGCAAAGGCTACAAAGGGGTCACCAGCCGTTGGCACACCAAGAAGCTGCCCCGTAAGACCCACCGAGGGCTGCGAAAGGTTGCCTGTGTTGGGGCGTGGCATCCTGCACGGGTGGCCTTCTCTGTGGCTCAGGCTGGGCAGAAAGGCTACCATCACCACACCGAGATCAACAAGAAGATCTACAAGATTGGCCAGGGCTACCTCATCAAGGATGGCAAACTGATCAAGAACAATGCCTTTACTGATTACGATCTGTCTGACAAGAGCATCAACCCTCTGGGTGGCTTTGTCCACTACGGTGAAGTGACCAATGACTTTGTCATGCTCAAAGGCTGCGTGGTGGGAACCAAGAGCTCACCCTTGGCAAGTCCTTGCTGGTGCAGACCAAACGGCGGGCCCTGGAGAAGACTGACCTTAAGTTTATTGACACCACCTCCAAATTTGGCCATGGCTGCTTCCAGACTGTGGAGGAGAAGAAAGCGTTCATGGGACCACTTAAGAAGGACCGAATTGCAAAGGAAGAAGGGGCCTAATGTCAGAACAGATTATACAGCTGGTAGAATCTCAATAAAGTTATTTTCCAGTGGGGGGAAAAAAAAAGAAGGGAAGAATGTAGCAGGCAGAATGAGTAAATGCTTGGGGACTGTGTGTTGGAGGAACTCTAAATCTCGTTCTGCATTTCCTTTGGGAGTCTAAGGTTCTCTTTCAATAAACCTTTCATTAGTCTTACGGGAATAATTTATACTTAAATGGCTGATGTTTGTTGTATATATTTCTACTAGAATATGAAGAGATGAGAAATTTATGTAATGCCTCCAGTATTTCCTTTAAGATACATAAATATTTAAATTTCCTTTCCATGTTTTTGACAGTAGCCTCATCTTAGGCAAAAATTAGTTGTTTGGAACATTACTAAATTATTATGGGGGGAGTTTTAATGAATACATGAAAATTCTGAAAATAACTGAGTTTATAGACTTATTTTATAGAATCCCTCACCTGTTGAGATCAAACATCGAAGGCGGAGGTGCGGAAAGGAGTTCTGTAGCATTGGGGGATGAGATCAGAACATTAAGTGAAGTCTCTTTGGATTTAACTTTTTCAAATCTGTCATAAAGAAAAAAAACCGTTGTAGACCCTTTTTGATCATTAACATTTTGTTCCCACAGTTCTTGATGGCATTTTCCCTTCTGTAGTGTCTGTCTTAAGTGAGAAGCATGATTCTGAAATCTATTATATTTAAAGAATTGCTGTATTGATGCATTAATATCCTCAGTCTATTTCCAAAAACTCCATGGGTTCACTGACCATGTTGAGTCCTTTTTCCATCCCTCCTCTTCCCAAAGCCCTACTATTTCAGTGCTGTATTAGTTGGAATATAGTATATTAGAATGTGTTTTACTAATACTGCTTCTTAGAAAGGTCATGAATTATTATTTAGTTCTTCACCAGGCAACAACTAACCAAATTTTCTTTGAGATACTGTGTGGTGATGAGGTATAAGATAATCAGAGTAAAATGGAATTGGAAGATGGTATTCAAAGAAAAGATGAGTTAGAGGTATACTTACTTGAAAATTTTTTTATTGCTGGTGGGAAAAGATAAAAAGCATAGTGCTAAGAGAACCACCACAGGATGAATTTGGATATAAAAAGTATCTTAGGGCATCTGCAAAATTTTGTACTTCTGCACACATACACAGTTTGTGTAGATATTTTAAAGTGAAAATTTTGTGTTTTAATATCTAAAATACATATTTCTCAAATTCTGCTTAGTTTAGGGAATTCCCTGGCGGTCCAGTGGTTAGGACTCTGTGCTCTCACTGCCGAGGGCCTGGGTTCAGTCCCTGCTCAGAGAACTGAGATCCCACAAGCCACACAGCGTGGCCCAAAAAAAAAAAAAAAAAGAAAATTCTGCTTAGTTTAGATAACTGAAATAATAATATTATTTGTCTAAAATAATCATTAGCTTTGCTTTGCTTCTCCATGAAAAAAGGTCAGAATATTAAGAAGCACAACTCCAGGCATATTGCCTCAGGTTAAGGCATATTGGTCATAGATTCTGAAAATGTTAACATGTTTGTCACTTGCTAATTTAAAATATCTTAATTAATTTAAAAGTATGTTAATTAGGTTGTCTGTAAACCAATACAGGGTTTTTTTTGGCTTCCTATGAAAACAACATAGTGTAGTGAGTTGAATGAGCAAAGCCTTTGAATTAAGATTGGCCTAATTTGTATTTAGGTTGTCCTGAGTTCAGATCCCAGCTCTGCTGTGTGACCTTAAACCTCTCTAGTTTTAGCTCTTTGCTCTGTATTTTCCTGTCTATAAAATGACAATGATAGAAGTATTGGGAGAATTACATGGGAAGATGTATATATAAAACCCACCATAGTTCTAGGTGGGTAAAGAGCCTAATTTATGCATTGTTTTCATTTTCTGCATTTCTGAATATGAATATATACCTTAAAACTTGTAGTCTTTGAGTTGGTTGGCAGCAATTGTGCCTTAAATGGGTATAAGGTAGTTGACAGGTCTTAACTCTGAAGTAGGCTGTTTTATTCCTCAAGAGTATCATCTTACATTTTACTAGTGCTTTATACTTTTCAGAATGCTTTTATATAATTGTCTTCTTAAGTTCTTCTATCCGATAACCTTACATAACTGGATTGGCATTTTGTAGAGAAGGAAAATGAGTACCTCATTAGTGGCAGAGTTGGCATTGGCCTTAATCTGCTCCCTCCTTGTCCACTGTACACACTTGGGCAGTGCTTTTAAAAATGAAAAATTTTCCCTTTTGGTATCTGTTTGCCATTGATGCTGTCAAGTGGTATAATATATATATATATAATTTAGATGATTCACGATTAGTGTTTGCAGATTAATATATTAGAAAACATATTTCTTAAAAATTACTTTAGTTTTTAAAAATTTCACATGTAATATAGATCTGGTTCTTGCCACTTCTGCATCCAGGAAAGTAATACATACTTGTTTTAAACAAAACAAAACCCAGAAAATTTTAAGAGTGATCATATAACAGTGAAAGAGAGTGCTAATTATTGCTGGGACATCAGGCATAAATCTGGACTGTTCCAGGCACACAGGAACTTATAGTCACCCTACCATCCAGGGTTGTGTAGCCTTTCAGTTATTTTTTTATATGTATATTAGCATTCACATACTTGTATAAACATATGTATGTATATAGTTTTAACAACTGGGATTGTTCTCATTTATATAGTTTGTAATCTTTCTTTTGTCACTTGACATTTTATCAAAGACATGTTCATAATTATATATCTAAAGCATCATTGGAAACGTCAGCATGCTGAAAATTACAGGAGTACTGTAATTTTCTAAACTGAATTCCTAACAATGAAAATGTGTGTTGTTACCAATACTTTATTATTATTAAAAAATGCTGTAATGAACATCCTGGTACACACATATTCTTGTGCATGCTTATTTGAATGACAGGATATGCACATTTCAAAATATTTTATTAAGCGTGGTAGGCAGAATAACACGCCTCCCAAAAGACGTCTACATCCTGATCTCCAGAACTTATGAATATATTATGTTACATGGCAAGGGGAAAGAAATTAAGGTTGCTAATCAGCTGACCTTAAAATGAAGAGTTTATCATGGATTTTTTGGTGGGCCCAGTGTAATCACAAGAATCCTTTAACTGTGGAAGAAGGAGGCGGAAGAATCAGAACCAGAGAGACATGACTTCCCTGGTGGCACAGCGGTTAAGAATCTGCCTGCCAATACAGGGGACACGGGTTCAAGCCCTGGTCCGGGAAGATCCCACATGCCGTGGAGCAACTAAGCCTGTGTGCCACAACTACTGAGCTTGTGCTCTAGAGCCTGAGAGCCATGACTGCTGAGCACACGTGCCACAGCTACTGAAACCCACGCACCTAGAGCCCGTGCTCCACAACAAGGGAAGCCACCGCAGTGAGAAGCACACGCACCGCAACGAAGAGTAGCCCCTGCTCGCCTCAACTAGAGAAAGCCCGCGTGCAGCAACGAAGACCCAAAAGCAGCCAAAAAATAAGTAAATAAATAAATTTAAAAGAAAAGAAAAGAACCACAGAGGATAACATCCTGTTGGAATGGAAGGGGGTCACAAGCCAAAGAATGCAGGTAGTCTCAATAACAAGGAAAATGCAAAAACTAGGTTTCTTCCCTAGAGCCTCCAGAAAGCAGCGCAGCCATGGTGATACCTTGATTTTTACCGAGACTCACTCAGGCTTCTGATTTTCAGACCTGTAAGAGAATAAAATGTGTGTTGTTTTAAGCCACTAAATTAGTGGTAATCTGTTACAGCAGCAGTGGGGAAATAATGCCTGGTAGATGTTGCCAGAAAGTTTGTACTGTTTATTCTGGCCCTAGCAGTGTTTGAAAAGTACCTGTTTCTATACATCCTCATCAGTACTGAAGGTCTCATGATCTCACCTTTTTTTTGAAGCAGATTCCTTGATGTCTTTACTTGTATTACACACAGACAAGTCTATCCAATACTCTAGCATTTCCCAGAGTGTATTCCGCTAAACATGGGAAATTCATATATGTTAGGGTTCTCAGTATATCCAAGGCAAAATAAATTTCAAAATACGGGGTTAAACTGAATTCTTTATTTAAGACTTCTCATAGTTTGTAACATGCTAATGTGTATTATGAACCTCCAAGAGGGAGATAGAGGTTGGTGTTTCCAAAGCTATGTCACAGCTCATAGAACTGATGTTTTCTTAGAACACTCTTTAAAATGCAGCTCTCCTTTTTCTCTTCTTTTCTCTCTTAATCTTTCTCTTTAATATATTAACCTTTATGTATGTCCATATTATATCTTAGACTTCATTCTTCAGAATTCTTCTACCTCTAAAGTCTTCTTACATTCAACCATTCCATTTTGACCACAGCCTGATCCGCATTAATCCAGCTGCTTCTCTGTTCAGGACTTCCAGTGTAGATTCCAAATTTTTCGCTATTAGTCACTTCCTGCTCTTTTCTTTTCTTCCTCCTCCTGTTTTTGCTCTTCTGCCCATTTTTTGATATATTACTTTAACCTGTCTTACCAGTATCCTCAGTCCTCTTGTCCTCCCAGCTCACTTGTCTAGGAAAATCTGCTCTGAATGATTCTGAAAATATGCTTCTTTGGGTATTATGGATAGCCTCACTGGAAAAAAAATCTTACAGACTGGCCAGTTGTTTAAATGCAGTCTTCCACTTCAATATCTATTAGTTGATTTCCCCCCCAGTTTTGCCCATTTCTTTACAGTAGTTAAACTTCTGCTGTTTTATTGAAGTTTTACTGTCTTAGCAAATGGTCTTTATTTGAACATAAAAATAAAAACCTTTTGGTGGGACTGATCTGCTTCCTGTTCCTTCCTCTACTAGTCCTTGCCTCTGTCGCTCTTAGAAAGGAAAAGGTTCTCATCTTCCTTATTAAGGTGGTTTTCTTTGTTTTTGCTCTGGATCTCATAGACTTTTTTTTTTTTTTTTTTTTTTTTTTTTTGGTTTTCTTGGATTTTTTTTTTTTTTTTTTTAATTTACTTTTGGCTGCGTTGGGTCTTCATTT